ATGACTCTAGGGTGTTTGTAAAAGCTATTTCTCGACCATATTTTGAATTCCTACATCCTTCTACAAGTAATATATTTCAACATTTTTAATTACCTATGTGTAATGCATTCAATTGCATATATTTTTTGTAAGGAAATATTATCTTGTGGATTTTGGATTTCCTAGTGGGCCTAGATATCTAACACCTTATTCCGATGATAAATGACTTTACAAGCCAAGCAAAGAAAAATATTTCAGTGAAAAAAGAATTATTTAATTACATGCATTCATCACTAAGAAATGTTATAAAGAGATGCTTTGGAATATTGAAGGAAAAATTTTCTATCCTGTAGAATATGCCATCATTTCGTTTACAAATACAACGATACATTGTAATAGCATGTTTCATCACCTACAGTTTTATTAGGCAAGAAGCCATTCACGATAAAAGACATCAACCGGTGGGCAGTGGAAGACATGACTACGAGGATTCAAATGAAGCCAATGAGAGTGATTTTGATGAGGAGAATGAACAAGCAAATATATAAATAATCAACATTAGGGACAATATAACACATATGATGTAGGAGCAACAACAAATTGAATAGTTTTAGTTTTAATTTGAATTTTAAATAATACGATTAACCTATTAGATATGTTTGAAACATTTTGAACTTACTTGTGGTACAATAGATTTGTTTTCTTTGCTTATGTGAATTAATCATATTTCATTCTTGTATTTTTAATAATAAATTGATACAGTGATGGTTAGACATACACACAAACACACACACACCAATGTGTTCATGTGATAAGGAACTAGTCATGGCAAAAGCCAATGCCAATTATGGATGGTGATTCTTTCGTTGCCCAAAATGGGAGAATCACCCAAATTCATTTCAATGGGTAAATGAATTTACTAAATATGATACTTTGGTATCCCCCTACAGGGATTATATGATCCATCATCAACACATAGCATATCATGCAGTACAAAGCCATACCAAATTACACATACTATTTCAATGTTTTGATGCTATGCTTGTCTTACACTATTGGTTTGTGTTATTTTTATTTAAATACTAGTTGTAATGTGGGTGGTTTTTTCCATCAACCAGTACGGGATCCAATGGACTAATATTTTGATGCTATGTTTGTTTTACAATAGTATCTTGTTATTTTTTATTAGTTTGCGTAAATAATTTGATGTTATGTTTGTCTTGCAATAATTTGCTATTTTTTCTTAAATATTAATTTTTAATATTTTTATCAATAAAATAATAATTTATTTAAAAAAATTATTACCATTTTTGTTAAAATTAATATTTATTGGTTAATATTCAATTGTTGATGTATTTTTTCCAATATATTTATCATATAAATTATAAAAATTAGACTAATCCATACCACACTGTCCACAGTTCAAAACAACTATGGATTGTTGTGTGATATGGTTTGGTCCTTGCCACACTAGTGTGGTGTGGACCAGTCCACACCCACCAATTTTTCATCCATGTTACAGAACACCCATTAATATTGATCCCTGTGCCTATTTTATATGATCATCACCATTGTAGTGGCAGGGGTAGTTCCTATGTCAACCCCATTAATGCAAACTAGGTCACTGACATCATCCTTTAGGATTAGTTTGCAAGGAGTACAAATACAAATATGTAGAGTGCAAAATCTTGTATTTTGTATGTATTCGCACTATACACATTTGTATTTGTACTCTTTTCAAACTAAGACTTAAGGACTGCTTTGCGTCATACTTATTACTTTGAGCATTTGGGGGACAAGTAGATTTAGCGACAAGATGGCCATTTGTGGATTGGCTTAATGTGGGAGAAGGTGGGATGGTCACTGGTTTGGTCAGTGGTTATGGTGGAGGAGAGAGAGAGTATAGGAAGAAGAAGAAGAAGAAAAAGAAGAGAAGTGGCTCCATCGTTGCTCTGGTTCTTAGTCGGGAGGAGAGATGAATTGTAAATAATGATTTTATTCCTTTTTTTATGTTTTTCCATATTTTATGTAATATATACTAGGACAAAAGAACTATATTATTTTTATTTTGTTAATAATTTAGTATTAATTAATTATTAAATAAAATAATTATTTTTGTTTTTATTTTTGGTCATATGTGAACATGTGTGAATTTTAAGTAGGACCCACTTATATATTATTTTTTACATTTATTAATTTATACATTAAATAGTTTTTATTTTATTATTGGTAATGTGTAAGATTTAACATGTTGGAGTTTCAAGTGGGACCCACTTATAATTTTTCAGATTTTTTTACTTAAACAATACCATGTTACCATTTCGTATTATTTTATTCATTGTTTAACAAATCTCTTAAAGATGTCTCTAACATCATGTATTTTTGCCTAATGTTGGCATTTCCGGCTTAGTTTAAAGTCCAAAATGGCCCTTTTAATTCTTTAGGGTCAAAAATGGTTTTTTTGGCATAGTTCGGGGGTTGTGTGGAATTTTTAATTTGGCCCTAAGGACAAAAATATAATTTGAACAATCACTTTTCTCATAATTCAAATTACTCTCATTATGTATTGTATTTAAGGTTGTGTTTGGTTGCAATGCACAAACAAATGTGTATTTTGCATAATTACCTTCTTTTCGGTTCATGAATGCAAATTCCGTTCACATTTTTAAATTGTTTTTGTAATCATCTTGTTTGTTTGAAATCAATGCAAAGTGTGGGCCCCATCATTAAATGCTCCACCTACCTATGCTCCAATTCTTTAAACTTTGGTGAAAAAGCAAAATTATCATAAGAGCACAAAATTGTATCCAAAAAATAGGTATAGTAATATCTCTCCTCAGGGTACAAAAATGCTAAAAATTACATTTTTGATCTCTTAATCATTACTTTTTTACTTGTCAAACAAATGCTCGCAAACACAAACTAGGGTACATATATACACCGGTTTGACGTTTGTATTGCAAACAAACAAAGACTAAGTATTAACTTCTATCAACATTCATCGAATCCTTTTCTTGACTAGAATACCCCTATTTTTGAATTTGGCACCTCTTTAATAATGATGGCACAAAATGTAATTTAGACTACTACATTTCTCCTCATTTAATTCCTTTTAATTGAATCCTATATTAATTGACCATATTAAAGGAAAATAAGTGTGACAAAAAATAATTGTTTTTATTGATGATAGAAATAAAATACAAATTTAAAACCAACCCAAAAATGAGTTGTTTTACTTGTTGGTGGCAAGTCAACAATTCAACCTTTTGGGTCAAATGTGTCAACCCATTGTATGTTATAATTAAATAATAATAAAAATTAAAAATGTGAAAAATACAAAAAGTATAAAATATGAAAAATTTTATAAAAAAACATTTGGACACATCTCTAATATCATATATTGATCATATTAAACAAAAATGTGTGACAAATAAGAATAATTCTTATAACCATAAAGATATAACAAATCATCACGTACAAAGCCACTCTTAATATGCTAATTATAATTGTTCCCATCCTACCCACATAACACCATTCCATGTATTGGGAACATCTCCCCATAAATGACGAGGGAAATATTTTTGATGTTCAGCTGTAATATCGCGTGGGTAGAGATGTGGGAGCAACTTATGGGTAGCATATCCAAGCCCTTTGAACTGCAATTCATGCTCCTTAAATCACTAGTATTTGCAAAGGTGGAAAATATAATGGTTCAACCGAGGCACCAAGTCATGTGGCATTGTTGTTAAGTTCAATTAAATAGGAATTGTCCCATAATGGACCGGAATTAATGATTCAGACCTAGGGCTGTCAATGGTCAAGGTCTGACCTGATTGATCCAAACCGATTGGATGGGTTAGTTTTGAGTTCTGATATATTGTCCCAATTATTATCGGTTTAGAATCGATTTCATCTAGTCCTTAACCAATTCAGACCCGACCTTTTATATAGGGTATAATATATGAAATAAATTAATATATATATATATATATATATATAATATTTAATGTATTTATTTATTATAATCGGATTCTGAGTCTAAAAATTACATACCCTATTAATTACAGTTCAATTCCATGCCCTTATTATCTAATGTCAGATCGGTTAAAGTTAATAGATAAACCCGACCCAGACCCGACCCATGACAACCTTATAATCATATCCTACTTTGTAATTTTGGTAGCCAAGATCCACTACTTTCTTTGGATGATTGGTTTGCTCTCTTTTGTTGACATCATATCGTGGGGCTCAGTGGTGAAAAAGCGTGAGAAGTGAGCAGAGTCACAGACTCACAGTCAAAAACAGGGTTGATGGACTATTTTGCTTTGCGGAGGCCAGAGTGAAAGCAGTAGAAACACTATTCTGATGGGGTCTAATAGTAATTTCCTGGGAATCGTCATGGGTTGTTGGACTTGGACTTGGATGGTGGACCCCAAATGTCTGCATTGGGTACACGTGTTAACGTTTTTTACATCAAATTGCCCATACAAGCCATATTTGTAAATTTCAGACATAAAAAAACGAATGGTATTTTCAGTCTACAATGAGGCTATTCTGGTCAAAAGCTTACTCGTCTATATCAGCAAATAGCAACTTCTTCACAACTCACAAGGCTTACCGTTTCCCACCAACACAGTTCCCCAAGAAAAAGGCGAGCTCCAATGTTGAACGCCAGGACCTCAGTATCCCCTTTTTACCCCCCAATCTTACCAAAATTTCGCCTCTCGCTTAAAAAAGTCTTTTGCCAAAGCAAGCTTGATTTCTATGCAACTGCAAGACTGACTTGCCCGTTGAAAGTCTAGATTGACCAAACTACCCTCTGACATTTCCAAAGTAAACGGCGGGGCGGCGTGTATCGCGGCCAGTGTCTGCTCTCAGCATCAAAAGTAAAAAGAATTTAAAATTAAAATTTGGGTCGTTTAGAATAAAAAGGAAATTAAGGGCATTTTAGTCCTTTGGTTTCTGAATAAACAAATCTCCTCCTGCACTCTGCCCAACGCTCATTGTCTGTGTACGTCTCAAAACTGTTATTCTGCGCTGCTCGGGTGCTCTCTCCATCTCCCACCCAAGACAAGAGTGACCCAACTCAGCTGCATTTTGGAGCAACAGTGCGCCTAAAAGAGCCTCACAGAAAAAGAGGGCAAATCGCCATTGTTTTCGTGGTTTTTTTTAACAAGAACTACACCAGCATTGCGAAGAAAAAAATAATGGAGTAGTGGTTGAATTTGTAGTGCCAAAAACAGTACCTTTTCCAGCAAACGAAGAAGGAAAGGTTAAAAGAGCCAAGACAGGATTTAGAGGAAAACAGAGAAAGAGACAAAAGGACTCACCCCATCTTCGCTTCGATACAAGGGAGAAATATCAATGTGGAGAAAGATGCTCACTTGTTCACTGGTAAAAATAGTAGCTTTTGCATCAAACATACTAGGAGAGGTGAAACCTTACAAGATACAACAAACTCATAGAGATGCAGCAAAAAGATGAGAAGCTCTGTTGCTCATTGTGTATCAAAAGGCAAATGTGGTTTTTCCTCCAACCAAAGTAGAACAAAGAATGGTCCCGTAGATGTTGTAGAAGAAAGCAAGCACTAATTTCTGTCCTACTTCGAAAGAGAAATAGCTACGAGAATAGGAAACCCAATTGCAAATTTGACTGAAAAGTTAACCATAGAGCAATTTTTGTTTAAAATGGGGGAGTAAAGAAGAAGAAGAAGAAGAAGAAGAAGAAGAAGAAGATGGGTTGCTGTTACTCAAGAGTGGAGAAAGAAGAAATGGTCTCGCGTTGCAGGGCTCGAAGAAGATACATGAAGCAGTTTGTGAAGGCCAGACAAGCCTTCTCTACAGCACACACGTTATATCTTCGATCCCTCCGAGGCACCGGTTCTGCTCTGCTGCAGTTCGCTAACGCCGAAACCAGTCTCCACCGTCACCACGATCCCCAACACCACCTGCCCCCTATTCTTCCTTCACCACCACTCCCACCGCCAACTCCGCCGCCTCCACCACCACCTATGAGCCCGAGTTCCGATAACTGGACTTCCGTCACTGCCTCTCCTGCTCTACCTCCTCCACCTCCACCGCCACCTTCAAGTTGGGATTTTTGGGACCCATTTGCTCCCACTTCGTCAAGATCCGTCACTGAAGAGGAATGGGAAGCCACCACAACCGCATCCGAGGTCCCCGTTCCTACGGCTGGGGCCAGCGTAGCTGCTCCGCCTTCTGTTGTCAGTGTGTATTCAAAAGATACCAAGAGCGAACTTGCCATGGTGGTCTCGAAGAACAGTAAAGATCTCGTTGAGATTATTAAAGAGCTTGATGAGTATTTCCTCAAGGCATCTGACGCTGGAGGCCATGTTTCATTGCTCTTAGAAGTACCACATTGTGGTTTTGCTGCTCAGAAAACGACAGGCAAGCATCCTTTCGCTACTGGGCATATGATTTTGCTCCAATCTCTGCACTGTTTCTAGTGAATTTATTTTTTCTTTTTGGGGTTCATTTGCAGGGAAGGTTTATAACTACGGAAGGAGTCTGAGTCCATTGATATGGACAAGGGGTTCAAATTCGAAATCAAGCAGTTTCGGTAGGTTGGGTGAGGAAATAATTGGAGTTGATATTGGTAGTGGAGGTTTTCCCAGTACCAGCCACTCTTCCACCGTAGAAAGGCTCTACGCTTGGGAGAAAAAACTTTACCAGGAGGTCAAGGTACTTATCGCATCTCATCTCTGTTACCCAAAACCTTTTGCGTTTTTCTTGGTCCCTTCAGCATTTACCCTCTTTCTCTCTCCATGACCATGTTGTTTCTTCCTGAGTTTCTTATCTGCCCGTGTAGAGAAGTTGCAATGACGGAATAACCCACGATTCCTTCTTTTAGTCGTAGGCATTGGCTTCCTTTTCTGTTCTCTTCTTAGCTCTCAAATGACCTACAATACTTGTTAGTCAACCTACACTGGCTTTGAAATTTCAATCCATAAATATTTTCGCCTGTTTATTTATTTATTGTTTTCTGTCATAGAATGCCGAGACTATTAAGATTGAGCACAAGAAGAGGGTGGCCCAGCTTAGGAAGCAAGAGGTAAAAGGGAGAGACTATGTGAAGATTGAGAAGAGCAAGAAAGACATTGAGAAGTTGGAGTCAAGAATGGCTGTGTCTTCTCAGGCCATAGAATCTTCGTCTGCTGAAGTTGCCAGATTGAGGGAGACAGAACTCTATCCGCAACTCCTTGAACTAGTGAAAGGGTCCTTCTTTCTAACTTCATTCCTGCTTTGGTTGCATTGACCTAAATTCACTTTGTGAGATTAAAAATAACAAAAAGGAAAATTATCTCCAGACTTGAGAAATCATAAAGCTAAATGGGGGCATCGAATCAGAAAGATCGACTCAGTCAAGGTCAACTGAGATATTTTAGGTCAAAAGATATCACAACCCAGTACAGAACTTGCTTTAAGCAGCTTGATTACTTGATTAGCATTTCTTGTTCAGGCCTTGCATATTTTGCTGCAAATACTTGGTTTTGTCAGTTCAGTTGATAATCCACCTTCCTGCACACTTATCATACTGCAAATATCTATGATATGCTGACTTCATCTATATAAGGTCCTTTAGTAGTATTACAAAGCAATATTTTGGCCAAGGTGGGAAGGGATAAATTATTTCTTCACTATGCTATGCCTTTACTGATAAGCAAGGTTTCAGACTGGGGTGTGACAATAGTGACCGCTGTATCGAAGGGCCTGACCCCTTTTGACTCGTTTTCTATTTTACCTAAAAAGAGTTTTACTTTTTTGTCAAAATCCAAGCTTCTTAAGTTTCGATTTTGAAAACCTAAAATGCAAACCCAATCACTTTAGGCATCAAAAAGAAAATGGGCCCCAAAAAGGATGAGGCCCTATGGTCATAATTCCCACACAGGGAATTGGGAAAATTCATATAATGATTTAAGTCAAAGATGTGTGGCCTTGGTTCCATGGGGCTACAGAACTGCAGGGGACCCCATCCCCCCATCAACCCTGGTGAGGGTGGAATCAATCCCAAGTCTCTGCTACAACCAGCCAGAACTGTAGTATAAACAATGTTGGAAAGAAACTTAGGGTTTATGATACTACCAAAGATTCAGTGGTTTAAAAGGCGCACCTAGGTGTACAAGGTGCATTATAGGGTAGGCACCTTGCCCAGGTTCTAGGCACAGCCCTTTCAAAAGGCGCACGCTTGGTGCGCCTTGCGCCTCAACCCCGATATGTGGGACCCCCGTGCCACACCCCTCAAGGCCAGCCCAAACAAGTTTATCTTAGGGTCTTAAATTCTTAGTTTTCACACAAAAAATAATGATTTTATAGCTTTAATTGTTTTTTAAGAAGATATTTT